GTAATACCAGCCAACTGTGCCGTTGTTGCCACTGCGATGTCTTGTTTCTCCAGCTTAAGAGTACTATGAACCTTGTTTGGGCCTTGGAGTATTGGAGAAAAGACTGAAACTTGTCTGTTTAGAAACCCATAGTAGGGCATTTTCTTAACTTTATCATGCCTTCAGGAATCAAGTCAAGGAAATGAAAAAGACTCAGGTGTCAACAACAACAACAACAAATCCTTCACCCATTGTAGCATTCCGCATTCCCCTCCCAGTAGCATTTCCTTCTTCCTTCACATTAACATCTTAATCCCCATGACAAGTCATTGTCTGGAGGGATGTGGAAACAAAACTGACAATATGAACTTCTGGGAGATTTTTGTCCTCAGAGACCCATCTAGGGCTCTTTGGGGCCTCTTGGCATCTACCTCTACCAGCCACAGATCCATAGTAACTGGCCAAATAGATTGAGATTCTCCACATCTTGGCACCAAGATTATGGCTTTGGTCTTCACTGAAAATCAGCATCAATAGATAAGATGCAAAGTTACTTAAGTTCTACATAGCAACTAGGATAAATATAGTTATCTTCAGGGAGATGTCTATTATCTATTGCTGCCTAACAAGTTACTCTAGAATTGAGCATCTTGAGACAGCAAATATTTATTATGTCTCCATTTCTGTGGGTTAGGAATGTGGAAACAGCTTAGCTGGGTGGTTCTGGCATAGGTCTTTTGTGAAGTTGCAGTAGGCTGTCAGCCAGTGCTATAGTCATCTGACACTGCGGGATCCTCTTCCAAATGCACTCACATGGCTTTGGCAGACCACAGGTCCTCTTGGCTGCTATCTGGGTACTTTAGTACCTCACCATGTGGGCTTCTCCATAGGCTATCTGAGTGCCTTTATGGCATGGCAGTTGGCTTCCCCAAGGGTGAGCCATTCCAGAAAGAGATATCACACCCAAGATGGAAGCCACAGTCTTTTTATACCTTAATCTCAGAAGTGGCACGCCATCACTTCTATCATATTTCATTTGTTAGAAGGAAGTCTCTAAATCCAGCCCACACTGAAGGAGAGAGGAGTACATCTCCACTTCTTGAAAGGAGGAAATGAACAAAGAATTTGTGGATGTATTTTTAAAAACCCTATAGGGTGGTTTTAATCTCCAAAAGTCAATATGACACAATAGTTAAGAGCACAAATTTGAGAATCATAAAGACCTACATTTAATTCTGGCTCCCACATTTGCTACTAATGCAAGTTTAGGCAAGTCATTTAACCTTTCTTTATCTCAATTTTCTAATCTATAAGAGTCTAGTCTAAGAATAGCAGATGTTTCATTGGGTTGCTTTGAGAATTAAATAAGATCATGCATGTAAATTGCCTGGCAAAGAATAAGTACTACATAAATATTACTTAATTGCTATTTCAATGGGATGATATTGTCCTCCTTTCTAGAAGACAGTATAATATAGAGGTTAAGAACACAGTTTCTGGAGTCAGGCTATCTGGTTTGGGACGTTGGCTCTGCCACATTAGCTGTAAGAACTAGGGCAAGTCACTTAACTCTCTTGCCCTTGGTTTTCTGTAAAATGAAAATAATAATAGCTAGTACCTGGCCATCTAATAGGTATTCAATAAATATGTGATGATTAAGGAAATAGCAGATGATAGTGTGTTGTAACGACAAAGGAGTGTCTGTATATGTGTGTGTGCACATGCATGTTAAGGATGCCATACAAAGCACATGTTACTTCAAACACCTGCTGTTTAACTGGGGAGCCAAGGGGAGCTGCCCCAGTGGTTTTTGAGTGTGCCTTTGTACCCTTGAGCATGTTAGCCTACATGAGCTCTTTAGCTGTTCCATCTCTTATGAGTTGTTCTTGGTATCATTGTTTGCATTCTGTTCCACCCTGGCTTTGTTCAAGCATACTTTCTTCTTCATCTGTGCCGCCTCCACCAAGAATACGTTTAATTGGCTTTGCACAGAGTCTGGAGATTTGGTGACAGGAAGGGGTGGGGTAGTCATCACCTCAGAGCTGCTACATTACCTTAAATTGATTTTGCAAATGAAAGCTAAAAGCTAAGCAAAGGCGACCCATCCATTTTGCCTGAAGATGATTATAATGCTCTTTTACGGCCTTCTAAATGACAAAGCAATTTGTTACCTGCCTACATCAACATTTGCTTATATTAGCACCCGAGATGCTTGATTTTTATTAGCCCCATGTTATCATTTTATGAAGACGCAAGGGCTCAGTAAAATTAGTGTGCAAATAGAATGCCCATTTTGCATTTCCCTGTGGTCAGCAGAAATGTTGAATGCAATTGACTTGATACTGGGTCAGGGGAGACATCCATAAAGTTAGCCTTCACCAAGGGCCTCCCTAGTGCCATTTATCATTTCTGGACTGCTGGGATAGATGGGGTCAGTGTTAGACAGTGTTTTTTAAAAGGGCTTGGTGATTTTTTTTTAAGTGAAAAAGCGATATAAATACTAAGACAGCAGCTCAATTTCCATCATAATAAGATAAAATCAAGCTCTCTTGTGTAAATTGTAGATGGAAATGCAGTAGAAGGGGGATCTTATATTGTTATTAGTGGATCCAGAATGAAACAGGGTAGTGAAAGGGCCACTGGCTGGGTGCTGGGACTTAACTCTACCACTGCTAGCTGAATGACCTTCAGCATGTCCCTTCCTTCTGTGAGCCTCATTTCCTCACCCATAAAATAGAATTAATACTGTCCACCTCACAGAGGCATGATAAAGATTAAATAACATAATATGAGCCTATATTTCTTTATAAACCATCATCTACACATGTATTTTTGTTTATTAATTCAATAGTCAGTCCTTGAGCACCTACTCCCTGCAGGGTCCTGGGAAAGACATTAGCCATACACCCATGGAAGTCGCAGTTTTTTCCTTGAGGAGCTTATATTCAGTCCAGGGAATGTTTAGGTGTCGAATTCCTCTTTAAATAATAAACTTCTTCAGGGCAGGTGAGCCTTCTCTCTCTCCCTTTGTTCCTAAAGGTGCCTAGCACAGAGCTGAGCAGAGTGAGTTCTCAAGACTATATTTTGGTTCCATGATATTTCTTGCTGCATTTCAGGGGAAGCAGTGACTCCACCCATACTGATCATCCCAATGGACAAGCAAGTCCCAAGCCTTTAGAACCAGATTTAATAGGGTTAATATTTTTAGTTTCATCTCTGACATTGGTTCATTGACTGTTGGGATAAAGAACCATGTTCAAAATAGCATGTCTCCAGCATTTCAGAAGGAGAAAGCCTATTAATTATTTCTATTCTCTCCCTCCAGATTGTCCTCAAACATTGATAAAATCCTTCAGTTCAACCTCTCTCAATGTTCCTTTCTAAGTTTCCTTCAGGTAATTGTTGTGTTCTGTATCAATCAGCCCTTCTTCTGCCCACTGCTGAGTATCCTTCCCTAGACGTTTCTTACTGGGAATGCCACCCTTGGCTGTTGCTTTTGTCTGATGATATCTTTGCACAATAGTTCAACTTTATTATACAAATTAGACTTCTGTACAGACAGAAAGAGCTTGAGTTCTGATTTGGAGCCACATTTTCCTACTTTTCTGCATGTCTAATAATTTTTTATTGGATGCTGGATATTGCAAATTACACATTGCTTTAACTGTCTGGATTTTGTTGTCTTCCTTGAAAGAGAGTTGGACTTTGAACAGCAAGAATTTAAGTTTCTTTTGTTCAGTTTGATCCTTCCGAGACTTGTTTTAAAGCTTTGTGAATGTGGTGGTCTAGAGTAGTTTATCCCTACCTCTAAGACATTGCCTATCTGAATTCTCATTCTCCTTAGATGATCAGCGAGGACTTCCTCTTTAGCTGTGGGAATTCAAACGATTCTTAGCCCTGTGTGACCCCTAAGGACTGTGCAGTTCACAGCTCCCTGGTCATTTTTTCCTGACATCGTGGAGAGTCACCCTATGTATGCACATCTTAGAATCCAACAAAGAATCAAGAGGACTCCTGTACAAATTTCTGGAACTCTTTTTCTGCAGAGCTTCCTCATCTCTGGTGCTCCCAGAGTTTCCCAGCTACTACCTGTTGAACTTGAATCTCAGTGAGGCTTCTATGCTTTGCTCAGGAATAGCTCCCTGCTCTTTAGTCTAGAAGGGATCATCAGGCAAAAAGTCAGGGCAATCGTAGGGCATATCTCATTTATTTTCCTTCTCTCATTGATTATCTTGCATTGGCCTTGTTCAATGTCTGAAAATACTTGTGATGAATATTTTGTCCAATTTTCTAGTTGTTTAAGATAAAAGGGAAATGAAGGCCAGACAAGGGATTGGGCTCTAATCTCAGCTCCTACCACCACTTTTCAGCTGTGTGACCTTAAATAAGTTATATAACCTCCATGAGCCTCAGTTTCTGCCTCTATTAAAAAAACACATTAACAGCATGTTCCTGTAAGGATTATATATGTATATAATGTGCCAACACAAAAGGAGCTAATTAAATGGCAGATGCTACTATTACTAATATATAAATAGCCACCTTCTCTACCCCATCATTTGCTGAATGTTTACTGTGTACTATGCAATGTGTAAGCCTGTTTAATCATCACAACCCTATTAAAATCCTTGTTTATAATCGATAAACAAGGATATATTGTCATCCTTGTTTGTAGATTAGAAAATGGAAACTTAGAAAGGATACACAAGTTGCCTAAGGTCACAGTCAATGGATTTGGGATTCAACTTCACTCATGTGGCTTCCTTGGATGATTGTAAATAGTACATATTAATATAATATGATCAGTTGCACCAAAGAAAGGGAATGCAGTCTTTTAATATTGGGTAGGGACATAATTAAATTAGTCAGCAATGGCTGGACTTAATGATTCTAACCCAATGATTTAAGAGATAAATGTTAAGCATCCAGCCCATTCCCTCTGGGGTTCCCTGCCACACACCAACCACTAGACTCAGCTTTCCTTGCCCTCATTAGCAACCATCTTTCATTTTATCTTACAGACAATCTCCGGGAAGGGGCAGAGCAGAAGGTGGTATTCATCACAGGTCGAGTCCACCCAGGGGAAACACCGTCATCATTCGTGTGCCAAGGTGAGTGGCAGGATCTCATAGGTGTCCTATGCCTATACCCACATCCAACTGGGACACTGTGATGATCTCTGGGACAGTGTGACCACATGCAGAACCATTTTAAGATTAAATGGAAATTTAATGCATTTCTTTAAAGAGGTTGTACCTGATTTCCATTAGGTTGTATTTCAATAAATGTTTATTGACTAGATGTATGTATGAATGAATTAATTAATTAATGGATAGATGGATGGATGGATAAATGAACAGGGAGGGCAGAATGAAGTCATCTTGTGAAGTTATCTTATATGTGCTGTGGTGAGGAAGAGCCATACAGAATCATCTACACTCCCTAGCTTTACTTGTCTCCAGTGGTTTACAACAGCAAGAAATCTGGCCCTAGATCAATGTGTATGTTGGCAGAAGGGCTGTGAAATGGGAGGTAATGACTGAGAACTATCTCTTCACTCATTCATTCAATCATTCACTTAAACAACTTTTGAAATACCTGCCAAGAGTAAGCACACTTGGCATCAGACAACCAGAGGCAAGTAAGTCATAGTTTTTATTCTCAAGTGTTCCTCTTTATAATTGCACTCTTATTATTAAATATTTCATTCATATACTATATTTAATTAGTCAGCTATAGTCAGCAATATATATGTATATTGTTGGGCAAGCTGAAGTTTAGAGAAGTTAAGTAATTTATCTCATTTTAATCTCAAAGTGACCATGAGGTCAAAGAGATATGAAACGCCTGTGGAGGTTCTGTAACTCAAGGGAGGTGGCACACTGCAGTGGAAGCCTGTGAGGATTTGAAATCAGGCAATCTTGAGGTCAGGTATTGGCTGTGCCACTTTCCAGCACTGTGACTTCAGTTTCCTCAAATGTAAAACAATACCACCCAGGCAGGTTGTTATGAAGCTGGCATGAGATGAACGTAAACAGCATACCCAGTCCTGTGCCTGGCACACAGCAGGCACTCAGCAGATGTTACCTCCTTCCCCGTGGGAATCTGAGAAGATGAAGCAGGTAATCTGCTTAGTAAACTATCAAGCACTGTGCAAATAAATATGGGCTTTATTTTCCCAGTTCGTATTCTTACAATGCTTTAGTTAGGCACGATTGCCTTCCTCTTTTTTTCAGATGAGGAGACGGAGTTTCAAGGAGGCAGTGACTTGCCCAAAGCCAAGCAGCTTGTAAGATGCATGGCTGAGGCTCCAGTTGCTACAGCCGACTCCTTAGCATTCTCACTTTGGCCTTCCTCCTCCCCAGCATTGTCCTTGCAGTAACCCTTGAGGTCCCTCCTGGGTTTACCAACCCCTTTACTTGCAGCCATCTGTCAGTTACTAAACTTGGCAGCAGATCTCTTCCCCCAGCTGATTGGATGTAACTGCTTTGTCCTTGTTTGTAAAAAGACAGTAGACTTACCATCAATATGTTCATCTCTAGGAGCCCAGACCCCGTGCTCACCTCTCCTGTGGGCAGTAGACAGAGAGCAGGGTCGCCATCCCATTTCACAGATAAGGACTGAGGCACGGAGGAATTGAATGGATCTCAGGTGCTCTCTGATGACCCTGTTTACTAAAAGGGAATCTTTGGGTGGTGCTGAGTTAATACACTCAATGGCATTCTGTAGGTTTTCAATAAATGTCTATTCCTTGACAGAGTATTTTAATGCCTGCCTGCTGGCTTCTCAAAATAAACTCCAACTCCCTCGCATGATATTCCCAGCCCTCTGACATCTGGCTCTCACCTGGTTCTCTGGCCTCAGCCTCAAATACTCAGCTCCACACAGCTGAAACCTTGAGTGAGCAGTCTTCTCTTGACCAGTGCACCTTTACACCTGCTGCTCCCTCTGCCTAGCAGGCCCTACACCTGCTCCTTGCCACCTGGCAAGCCCCGTCCATCTCACAGGGTTCATTTTAAGTGCCCCCACTGTGGGCTCCCCTGGTCCACTCCCTCTTGCCACCTGCGTTGTGCCTGCATTGTGGATCTAAAGACGGCCATCATCTTTATTGATAATGGTCATCTCTATTGCCCTGATTTATTATCGTATACTTGACTTATATTTGTTTTTCCCCCTTTAAACCACAAGCTGTATAAGGTCTAGGATTGGTCTCCAACTGTCATTTTCCACATCTGTCAAATGAGGTTATCTTGTTCATCTTATGGGACTGTTGTGAGGAACAAATGCTGTGTGGAACTCACAAAGAGCAGCCTCAAGGTTACACAGTCATTAAATAGTGGAGTGGGGCTTTTAATCTAGGTCTAGCTAACTCCCAAGGGTGTACATGCTCCCTTGTCCCACTCAGGGATGGGAACTACTAGAAAGTGAAGTCTTGTACCTGAAAAAACTCAGAGTTCTGACCACCCCACAACAATTGATGTGCATTTTACAGATCGGGATATGGAGCCTCAGGGAAGTACAATGGCTTACCCAAAGTCACATGACTAATTCACCATAAGTGTGGTTCTGGAGTCCATCTCCCCAGTCCTGTTTCTCATCTTTCCCTGCCTCTGTATCTGCCCCATGAGACACACAATTCATACTTCCTTGAGGCAGTGTAAGAGGCATCATTACCCCACTTTACTAATGCAGGACTGAGGCATGGTCTTTCCTGAGGGTGTCTCAGCTACATGTAGACAGCCCGATCACAGCCCCACAGGGCACGGCTGGGGGCTTCTTCCTCAGTCATAGCCCTAAACTTGTCCATCATCCCTCAGCCTCCATCAGCCCACCTTCTTCTGGGGATAGCAGGCAGGTCCAAGGTGTGGACAGATGCTGAGATACCTTCAGTTCTGTTAACTCTTCCACATTAACTGGCTCAGTGAGGCAGGGAACAGGCATGTGAGGGAACAGGCATGTGAGGCCAGTTGTGACAATGTGGCTGGGACCACGATTCTTGCCGCCGAGCTGCTGATGCATGTGCTGCTGGGAGTAGAGTGAAGTCCTGTCGCCACATAGCTCTAGAAGGGGTGGCAGTAAGGGTGGCAGGGCTTGGATTCCTCAAGACTCTGCTTGTTGGTGGGATGCTTACTCTGCTACCCCAAACGCTGCTCATGACCTCTGTGAGGCCAAACTATCCTGTTCTCCAGTGACCATGGGAGAGGTCAGAGGAGCTCCTGTGTGGCCCTGTGGCCAGTCATGTGAGAGCGCCATCCCTCAAGCTGCTACACTGCTAAGCATGAATCGCAGCTTCTCCCCTTACTACAGTGTAACCTTGGGAAAACCAGAAAATCTCCTTATGCCTCAGTTCTTTTATCTCAAAAGGGAAATAATAATAGAAATCCTGCCTCACAGGGTTGTTGTGAAGACTGACACAGTTCATATCCATCGAGCATTTAGGATGGTGTCTGGAATAGAGAAAGCACTAAATAAGTTCCAGTAGTAGGGGAGGAGCTAGCACTAATGGAGCGCGTGGCCGGTGCCAGGGCCTCCGTGAGGCACTTTGTACGTGGTTCCTCTAATCCTTCTCTGAACCAAACCCAGGTGTGGGCCTCCCAGACTGTGGGCCTCAGCTCTTCCTTGTCACCTTCCTGAGAGTGCCACTAGCTGAGCTCTGCTCACCTGGAGGGTCACCTTGCAAGCCAGGAGCTTGGCCTGAACCAGACCTAGACCTTGTTGACCTTGTTTCTGACTCCTGGTCAAGTGTATGCTCTTTCACTGACTTTTCCTGGGACTTTGGGGCCAACTTTCATTGAAAATTTTCATCTGCAGAGTACTTTGTCCTCTCCAGACCCTTTATCGTTGAATTAATGAAACCAGCACTTATTAAATGCTACTGTGGGGAGCCACGCCACGCTCTGGAGGGCAGCAGGGGAAGTGGGCACAGCTGTGGCTTTGGAGTTTGATGGGCCTGAGTTTGAGCCTACCAATTCCATCTAGCTAGGGGACTTTTCTAAGTCCTTGCCTCTCATAGCACCTATTTCCTGACCTGCAAAATGGGGACAGCAATGTCTTTCTCAAGGGGCTGCTTGAGAGAGTTTCATGAGATAGTGTAGGTCAATGGTGGGTCAGCCCAGGCACAGATAGGTGCCTGACCAGTACCCACACACCCCTCTTCACCTTCGCTCTTCCACAGAACTTCCACCAGGTCACTAGGCAGCTCTCAGCTCTTATTCTCAGAACAGTCCAGGGATTCACTGGATGTCACCTGGTAAGTTGGTGGTGGAGTGGGGACTAGATGCAGATCACCTGCCTCCCAGCCTGAGCCCTGCTGCTACATGCCAAGGTGCCCATCAGGGCCTAGACTATGGAGACAAAGAGCTGGCCCTCTCCCAGGAAGTTCACTCCTCAGGGTTATTTTGTGGGAGTAAGAGGAGGAAGGAGGATTGTGCACACACACACACACACAGACACACGCACACACCATGCTCTCATAACTACCAATATCTCCAGACACCGGGACCAAGCACAGCTTCGTACTTCCTGTAAATGAGGTAGTGACCTTTGCTCCTCCCCCATTCTGCTTTCCTCCCACCTCTCTTCTTCACCTGTTCTTACTCTTCTCCTCAATATCCCAAACAGCTTCCCACTATAGGTGTGGTGCTAGATCCACTAAGGGTTTGTGATGGGGCCTTTCACTTTTCTAGGCTTCTGTCTCTTCATCTGTGAAATGGGCAGAGTTGGGAGCAGGAGGGTGAGGACTTATACTCTGTGAACTTTAGGGTCATCAGGGGCAGACTCCCTGTGAGTCCATAATTCGAGGCCCTTGGACTCAGCTGAGGGCAGACAGGGGTCCTGTGCCAAGTCAAGGGAGGGCCTAGAGTGCCTGCTGTTGTGCACATCACACACTGGGCCAAGCAGAGACCTCAAACTGTCTTGCTTCAAACCTTGGCTCTTCCCACTACAGTATGCTGCCTCTGAACAGATAACAGAAACAATAAATTTTGCACAGAATTCTCTAGAGAGAAAATCATGCAGTCATATGCAAATTATTCCACAAATCACATGCAAATAGACTCCTTGCTCTTTGCATCTTGTCTTCATGGACAGAGCACTGCTCTGAAGCCGGCAGAACTGGGTCTGAATCCCAACTAGGTTCCTGTGAGGCACTCAGCAAGTGATGCCACACCCTGACTTTCTTTCCAGTCTGTGAAATGGAGCCAATAGAATTACAAGTCAGTCCGGCTAATGAATGTACAGTAGTTAGTCATGGGTCGATCTTTATTCACTCACTTCATACATAGGTCTTGAGTACTTTCCCTGTGCCAGGCACTGAGCTGGGCACTAAAAATACAGTGGCAAAGAAAGGAGACCTGTTTCTGCTGTCTTGGAGCTCATGGCCTGGAGGGAAGACAGACTTAAACCACAGTGTAAGTTGAAGTAAGCCTCAATCCCGAAAGAGAAGTGCAGGAAATGTAACTTTCTTCTTTTTCTATAACTGAATTCAGTTTCTATTTTGAGGCCCCTTCCTGCCAGGGGCCAGAAACTTAAACTCATTTATGTTCCTCAAGATTGGGTGCTTTCAGCAAAGAGTTCTGATGCTCTCAGGGTAGCAGGCAAATCATTGTATCATTGGTAGCACCATCTATCCACACTGTTTGCTTTCTACCCACTGCACCTCATGACTCTCTGGGCCTTGGCTGCTGCAGAGCCCCTGCAGGTCACTACCATGTTCCACCCTGGTTCCTGACAGAAAGCTGCTTTACCTCTGCCAGCTCTCTCTGTTATGCCTGCACCCTACCTCCACCTCTGTCCTGCCTTCAGGAGGCCCTGCCCTGCAGTATTCCTTGCCTCTAAGCAGCATTCCACGCTGCAGCCAGACGGAGCTCTCCAAAGCTCATATCTGACCCAGGCTGAAAACCTGGCAATAGCTCTATAGTTCTCTTCAGGTTTTTTCAGCTGGAACAGCAAATCCTTGTTCATCTCTCCATTCCCATGCCTACAGCAAGCCAACAAAGAGCAATGATGAAAACAATGCATGTATACATTTACTGTGTACCACTTTGCTTATATCATCTCATGTAAATCCTCGTAAGAACCCAGAAGTAATTCTTATTCTCCCCTTTGTAATTGATAAGGAACCTGGGGAACTGGGACGTTAAGGCCACACAGTAAATGAGTGGCAGAGAGAGGCGTCAAACTCAGATGATCCAGTTTCAGAGTCTGTGCTTTTGACCATGAAGCCAAGGCCCTGGAATTGAAAAGCTTTTCGTTACTGACAGACCATCTCTTTTCTTACCCCGGCCTGGATACTTTCCCCTGGCACCCCTTTCTTTTTATTTTATTTTTAAATTTTAGATTCAGGGGATACATTAGCAGGCTTGTTACGTGGGTAAATAGTGTCATGCTGAAGTTTGGATTTCTAATGATCCCATCACCCAAGCAGTGAACGTAGTACCTGATAGGTAGCTTTTCAGCCCTTGCCTCTTCCCTCCTGCCCCTCTTTATGAATCCCGGGTTTATGGTTCCCTTGGTGTTCATGTGCACCCCACGTGTAGCTCCCACTTATAAGTGAGAACATGCAGCATTTGGTTTTCTGTTTCTGTGTTAATTCACTTAGGATAATGGCCTCCAGCTGCATCCATGTCGCTGAAAAGGACATGATTTTATTCTTTTTATGGCTGCATCCTGGCGCCTCTTTCATCTGGCTCCACTCTACTCATTTTTTAAGTCCCCTTTCCAGGCCCCTGCTGGGTCCCCACAGCTATGTGCTGTTCCCATCAGAGCCTTTACCAGTCAGTGGGGAGTTGCTTCCTTACTGTGCACCCCTCTGAGGCAGGACCATCTTAGGCATCTTGAAATGCCCAGAATTTGGTGTGCCAATGAATGTTTGTAGAATGAAATGAGTGATGATCAGTTCAACTAATCCCACACAGTCAAAGTTGTATGAATTCCTGGAGCAATCCATCAATAGGCATTTGTAAGCAACTACTATGTGCCCAGCCCTAAACCAAACACTCTAGGAGAAAAAATTAACAATAAATATCAGCCTCAGTTGAGGTTTGGCTAGAGAGGTTCATCCTGGTCTGTGGGAAGTTGGGACAGGGTAGTGATCTCTAACTTCCAGCTTTAATATCAAATCCTCTACCACTTTTCCATCTCTTCTGGCCTCTCTGGCTTCCAACCTTCCTGTCATCCTGCCTTTTCCCCAGCTTCCTGATTAAATCAGCTTGAAGAAGAGGACCTGGCAAACTTGTTTACAGAAGGGGCAAAGGCTGATCTCAAGGAGGTTGATGGCGTCTTCCAGCAGGAGGGAGATTATTCTCCTCACCTGACAGATGATGCTTCTACTTTTGGTGGAGAGGAATAAAATAGATGGAATCATATGATGTCAGCGTGGGATGTATCCTTGAGAATTATTTAGTTCTTTCTCCTAATTTTAAAAATAAGCATAGACCCAGAGGCTTTCTACAGGTCACCCAGTAACTGAGCCAAAACTAGAACCCAGGCTCTGTTTTGATTTGTTGGCTTCTGCCATTCAGTATCCTTGTCTCCAAATTTCATTGTTAGTCAACTTCACAGACTAGGACTCCTACTTCTAAAACTAATCCTATTTTTAACAACCCATTGCCTTTCAACCTTTGATCTAAGTGAGTTTATGGAAGCATGCCACAATTTTCAGGTACTGTGTTAGGCAGCTAACACAGGATCTCTAACACAGGTACACAATAGTCTTCCAGATTAGGTATTATTATCCCTATATCAAGAAGAGAAAACTAGTCAGGGAAAGCTAGTCAGTAACTTCTCTAGCTAACACTCAGTTAAGATTTGAACTCAGGTCCCGAGACTTTCTGCTCCCCTGGTCCCTCTGCTTTCTTGGTCCATCCAGTGCTTTTGGCCCTTGGCCAAGGATGGCATTTTCTCTCCACTCTTACATGCCCTCACAGTCTTCCTCATACTCCTCTCCCACCACAAAAAAATAATAATAATAAATTAAAAAGTAAAAGAAAAGAAAGATCTCCTTATTTCCTGATGAATGGAAATGATTTTGAATTGTATCTGACCTCAAACCAACAGATGAGTCTAAAACCTCCCCTCTCCTTGCCCCACACCCACCCTAGGAGAGGGAGCTCTGGGCAGCTGCAGCCTCTGGTCTGCCTTTGTTTTCTCTCATTCTTTTATTAGCTGCCTAATTGGCAGCCCAATTAATCTGTTCATCTGTGAAGGAGGATGGATCACAATAAGCTACTCCATTTCCAGAAGCCATTCTCTGAGGCAGTGTGGCCAGGCCCTGAGCGTGGGCTGGCTCCTTGATGGAGGGCCACCCCGGGAGCCGGGGTCAATTAGTGGACAGATTAAGCAATTATTAGCCCCTAACAAGGGCGCCTGGCATCATTACCCTGCCTGTTTACTGGCAAACTGCAGCTTTAATATGAGGACCAACAAATAAATTAGGGCATCTGGTCTACTGCCGCGTTAGCCGAGAAGTAAATGATGTCCAACTGACTTTCGGCTGCCTATGGATTCTCAACCTTGGCCTAATGAAAAGTCTGAGATGTCCCTCACCGGTCACAGAAGCTCTGGAATGTGCTCTGGAGTGAGTTATCATTCCAAGAGCTGAGTGCCTGCACTGGGCACTTGTTCTTAGTTACCCTGCTGCCTTCCTCCTGCCATCTGTCAAAACCTACCTTTCTGACAGGGCTTAGCTCAAAGGCTTCCTTCTTGATGGCTTTCTTGCTCTCTCCAGCAGGAATGGGGCCCCACGTCTGCATTGTGGGAGGGTTTGTCATTCTCCTATCATTTTCTGGCATTATAGTAATTTCATGGAATGCTAGAGTGCCATTTTGCCCATTTTCTTTTTCAGGTATCTGATGAAAGAGTAGAAACGTGGGGGAGATAAGAGAGTTATTTGTTTTCTCACCCCTCTTCTATGGGTAGATGCAGGCTGTAACCAGAAGGATATCAAGGAGGGAGTGACAGGATCAGATTCACACTTTCAGAAGATCCTTCTGGCTGCTGCGATGAGGGCTCATTTCAGAGGTGGTGGCTGTTATCCAGGCCAGGTGTGATGGTAACCTGGGTTAGAAGACAGGCAGTGGGATGGAGAAAAGGGGAAGATTTGCTCCATTCAAGAAGGGAACATGGGGACTGCCTGGCAGTAGGAAAAATGTCATGGAGACAAATTTCTAAATTTGCTGACTGGAAGGCAGGGTGATTTCAGTGCCAGTGAGAAGCCGGGAGGGCAGTCATCCCTGGAATCCTGGAACAGAGGATCTTCAAAATGGGGAAACAAGCACATTTGGGATACATGAAAGAAACCTCCTTCTGCTCATGTGACTTTGACTGAAATGCTTTTCCTCTCTGCTTCTTGATGTGCCTATCAGCTAAATGAGCGTTTAAATCCCTAAGGACCTTGACCCTATGATTATCACATCTGATGTCAATGTTTAACTAAGTGTGCCTATTAGAAAGCATCTCTTAGTTCACTGTGTAGTGCTGGCCCACCTCTCCCCATCTCTGTCTGACGAAACTCGGTGGGCTCTCAAAGCACAGCTCAAATGTCATCATTCTCGGAAGCCCTCCCAGTTCTCTACAGCAGGAAATGCTCTTTCCCTACTGCCCATGGGCTTCAATGTTACGTCGTCAACTGTCTCTTGGAAATACAAATGTATTTGTAAATATATTTTATACAGATAACACGTAGTCTATAACCACACACCCACAGTGGCCAATAACAACACAGGCCAAAATCACCTATTGAGCTCCTCTTGTTTTCCAAGCTGAGAAAAATGTGTTTCCTTCTTCTTGAAATGCTTTGTTGTTAAACCGGACTCTTCTCTTTCCCTAGGGATCATTGACTTCCTCGTAAGCCAGCACCCTATTGCCCGTGTCCTCCGAGAATACCTGGTCTTCAAGATCGCACCAATGCTCAATCCTGATGGAGTCTACCTGGGCAATTACAGGTAAGCAACTGGGGAGAATGCTTGGAAGCAGGTAGTCATAGGATGGTGGTACGGAAGCAGGAAAAAATATGGGATATATTTTTTAAGGAAGAATTTTGAGGCTGCCCATGAGTTCATTAGAGAAAGTTTCTCGCTGGCTCTTGAGAATGTGGTTAATTAGCTTTGGCTGTTTCGTGCACAGCCACCTAAGGTCACTTGCTGGGTTTTCTGGAGAGCTCACTGGGCCAGGAATCAGGAGACCTGTTATCAGTTTTGGCATCTACTTTTTGTATAACCTTGGGGGATCCACTTTTCCCTCTCTAATGCTCAGTTCCTCTTGCATAATGGAGACAATAATTACTTACCTGAAAGGGCAGTTGTGAGAGCTTCAAAAGAAATGGTGGGAAGGAATGTGCTTTGCAGAATATCATGTGGTAGTTATAATGATGACTCTTTTGTTGTGTTTCTTCTTGGAGAATATCGATGAAGGAGAATAGAATCCCAGGACATCTGAACAGCATTTCTCTTCAGTGTTGGCATACCAGCCAGCCCCACACTCACTCATGCACTCAAATCTTGAACTCCCTTTCTCCTGGCTTAGCACCATAATTTACAGCCTAAAATTCCACTGCCCAGAAGATTATCTGCCAAAAGAACAATGGCTCATTTGAGATAGATAGTGTTATTGCCCTTATTTCACATTAAGGTAACTGACTTGCCCAAAGTCACACAGCCCATAAATCATTGACTAACTTCACCATCCAAATTATACAGTTTTCAAGCTCTTTAGGCCCAAGACTTTCAAGATGACATTCAGACCCCCTAGCTTTGCATGCAAGGCATTGTCTGCCCTGCTGCCTGTGTGTCCACCATCTTGCCTCACCTCTTCTCCTCTCCTCCTAGAACAAGTGCTGCAGCTGCACTGAGTAAAGCCCAGTTCCCTAGACATGTCCTATTGGTTCCTGATACCTTTTATACAGGCTGCCTGCTCACCAGAAACCCCTTATCCCTTCTTCATCCCATTAATTCTTTGCAACTCAGTTCATGTTCCTTATTCTGGAAAACATCCCCTTAAACCCCAAACAGATTTGGCCACTCTCTTCTCTGAGTTCTCACAGGCCTGGTTATTTATTTGTTTGTGTATTTGTTTATTTGTTTGAGACAGGGTTGTGCTCCATCGCCCAAGTTGGAGTGCAGTTGTGCAATCATGGCTCACTGCAGCCTCAACCTCCTGGATTCAAATGACCCTCCCACTGCAGCCTTCCAAGTAGCTAGGCATGAGCCACTGTAGCAAGCAGGCCTGGTTATCGAACAACTCTCGTTCCACTGCATGTCCTCCAGTGTCCTTAAAGCTACTGGAGGGTGGAGACTGAACCTTAATGGCCCTTGTGTCCCTCATGCCTAGCAGCAGGGATCAGCACATAGTAGATGCCTAAAAAGTGTTTGATGAATATGAGAGAATGAGAAGGATGACGTTACTGATGAAGAAACTGAGTCCCAGAGATGAAACAGTACTTACTCAGTCCGTGGCCTAACTCAGACCAGAACCAGATCTCCTGACAGCCAGTCAGGCTTGTTTTACACAGAGTTGGTTTACTGCTTTCCAAGAGCATGGCAACTGGGTCCAGAGGGGTACTCCTGGGTGTGAATTAGAGAGAGCCCATGAGATGCCTGAAGCCTTCATTAAAGACGGTTTTGCTTCCACTCTTAATTGGCTGAAGTGATGGTTCATTAGCATTCGCAAGTTTTGTGGCTTGTTACAGGCCTGAGAGCCATGCTTTTCCATCTTCCATGGACAGAGTGTACTGTTAGCGATAATAGTGGTAGAAAGACCGTTTGATTTATGTTAATGTTTCTGTTTAATTACAAGAGCAGTGGTCAGAGAGAGGTCAATACTTCTCTCCACACATTTATTTATGTCATCATCTGCTGTCTCAGGAAGGACTAGCTTGAAGGAGGTCAGTGACCTTGGCCAAAATGCCTCCCCTCTCAGGGCTTTAGATGGACACTGAGATGGTGATGAGGGCTAGATGCCTTCTACATGTGTTCAAGCCCCAGATTTTGTGATTTGGGGACTCCATGATAAAAGATTTCCACCCCTCAGAAATGGTTTCACACTGAAGCTTCAACCCCCAACATTCTCCTAGTGAGAATATGTGATTCTCATTATGAGAGTTGGAGAGCAACTCTAACCACAAACATTAATGCTATTGCTAAAACTGTACAACAAAGAGCCGATTAATCATAAGAATTCACTACTTAAAGCTTTAGAGAAAATATAAAAAAAAAATAAAGACTCATAATTGAGAACTTCAAGGTGCCTTAGAGGTCCCCTAGACCAGCCACACTACTCTCTAGAGCAATACTTCTACGGTTTGGCAAGACTTGCCAAGGCATTATGGAGGGAAAAATTCAGAGTTCAGATAAGTTTAGGAAACACAGAGTTAAGCAAAGTTAAATGTGTTCTTTTATAATATGACTTTTCAGAATTTTGAATATGCTTATAAACATAGGGAATCTAAGAGGGGAAGTAGTACTCAGTGTTTCCCAAAGATAAGTGAGAGAGGTCCACATCCTCCCTGTAACCAGTGTTAGGGTTTCTGAAACACATTTTGGGAAATGCCACTCCAAGAATTCTGCTTGCCAATCCAATGGCCTGTGAAGCACTCACACACTAATCTCATTTAATCCTCATAATTCTGTGATGGAGGAACTTTGTTAAAGTTTTTCTAAATTCAAATAATGACAATCTACTCAATCTAGCTTGAGTACAGGAGAAAAGGTGGTGAGTGGGGAGAGAGAGAAGGAAGGAGGCAAAGAAGGGAGGGGGGGGAAGAAGGAAGGAAGGAAGGAAGGAAGGTTGGTTAGTTCTCAGAATTCTAGTGCAGTAAAGAGAGCCAGACTTCCCAGGAACTGATCAAATTGCTGGAAACATGTTGGAAGACAGGTGGCCAGGTCTTTGCCTCTCTCTCATGCTCGTTTGCTTTCATTCTCTCAACATCTCCCTCTGGAGGTGCAGACTCTCAAGCCTCAGAGAAGTTAAGTCATCCCCCTGAGGTCTGTGGCCTGTGAGGAGCTGGCAGGGATGCAGGTGTGCCTGACCTAGCCCTGCTCCTCTCTGCAGTCCCACACTCCCCCTGTAGCCAGCACCAGGCCTGCCAGACCCTGGGAGGAGAACCAAAGACAGGCCTGCCCTGAGGCACTTCACTCTGCTGGCTGGAGAGATGGTTCAACAGGCCAGTTCCCTGCAGTGTGAGATGGGAAGGCAGGAGCTTGGAAGGAGTAAAGGTCAGTGGTTGAGAAAATGGACTTGGGTGTCAGGTCAGATTTAAATTCTGCTCTGCCACCTACCTGCTGTATGACCCTGGGTAAATTACATGGCCTCATTAAGCTTCATTTTTCTCATCTGTAAATGGAGATGCTATAGAGTTATGAGGCTTTTGTGAGATAATGCATCTAAAGCACAGTGCTAAGCACACTGTAAGTTATAAATAAACATTTATTCCTCCTTCTCTTTATCCTCCTCACTCCTCCACATTAAAGAAGCATATAATCCAATCTAGGAAGGCTGGTCAGGGAGATTTCCCAGATTTCATCAGCTAAGTTTAGATTTAATAATACAAGTACCTATTCTATGGCATTTATAGTGAACTAGAGAAGGTACACTCTAGAATTTAACAGCAATGGATGGCCACTGTACCATGATAGATCAAGCTCTTTATGTTAAAGAACAGCACCATTTTCTAACTAGACTACTGTATATGATACCAGACTATGGTTTACAGTAAGAGTATATGGAGCCTATACTAAAGTTTATAGCAACAATATAGAGCAACTATAGTATATACTATGGTACCTATCTTTAACAATTATGTTGGATGATATAACAATGGATAACAGTTACCTTATACAGTAAAAGCATAGAGCAACTATACACTCTGTCTTACTTACTGCACTCCAATTACATTGGCCTTCTTTTCATTTCAGGTCTTAGGTTTAACACCACTTCAGAGAAAGGCTTTTCCAGGGCTTGCAATATACAGTGGGTCTCCCATTACACTCTTTCATAGCACCCTATACTCTCCCTTTATGGCTCTTGCCCTAATTTGTAATTATGTGTTTATTTATGTGACTATTTGTTTAATGATTGTCTTCACCTTAGACTGTAAACTCCATGAAGTCAGGACTTTGTTTACCTTGTTCTCTGTATCCCCAGTACCTGGCAAATGGGCTCTTGAAATATATTTTATTTTTCTAGTCACTGACCTGAAGTTCACGTATATGTTTCCAGAATGAACAAATGAACTAAACAATAGTGTTTAGTGATTGTGTGACGGCACAAAGCTACAGTGTCCCATGTAGAGTAACTAGGGCCAGATGCAGTCAGCCCCCAACCCTTTACCTTCATCTGCATGGCCTCCTGGCCCAGTTGTTTTAACTGTATGTTGTTGTGACAGGAATACTGCTATGCTTTAACCTGCTGAGCTGCTGTTATAATTTAACAAACTGGATTCTCAGCCATGCTTAGTTATTGCATGGAGCGTGATACTTTTAAAGGCACTTACAAAACCACATTTCATCATACAACAGCAACCAAGAAAGGAAAGTCAGTTTTTACTGTATCCATTTAAGCCATGGGGAAACAGGCTGAGAAGGTGAAGAGCCATGTTCAAGGTCATAGGGTGCATCCAGGGACTCTCCACACTCCCATACATTGCCTTTGCTCTATAAGCTATAGGCAGAAGTGGAGAACTGAGGCTCTAATTTTCACTACTCTCCTGAGCGTTCTTATTTGTCCTTGGACAAGACACTTCTCTCCCCTGGCCTGTTTCCCTCCTACTCTCTAGGAAGAGGGAAGTGGGATGAAAGGCACCTTCCATCATTTAGTAGAAGCAAGGGGAGAGGCTCTATCAAGAATGGGATGGCTACAGCATGAATGAAACTTGAGGACATTATGCTAATGTAATAAGCCACTCATCCAAAGACAAAGACTGTATGATTCCACTTATATGACATTCTTC